GGGGGGGGGGGGGGGGCGTGTCCCTTTTTCTCACGCGCGCAGTGGCCGTCGCCGGCTTTGTTCCCCCTCAATTGCGTGGCGCAGCGACAGAAGAGCATGCATGTCACTTGTGTATAAATAGGAAAACTACCAAGGCACACACGCAATATGCTGCTGCTGCTGCCGGCTGCCGTTCCCCCCAACAAAAAGCCTTGATTCGCCTACCCTGACCGATGAGACCGAGATCAGCTCTGAGCGTGAAGGAAAGGGGTGCAGGTATCCTTGCAAGAAAGTACCATAAACCCCCCCCCCCTTTTAACAAGTAACACATGTCTTCCAAAGTCCCCAAGAAGAAGAGCCAACTCTTTATCTTAGGTTGCACAACTTTTGACCACTCCAAAGTTGTACCGAGCCTAGCAGCAAGTTGAGAAACTTGTACTTTCGGCGTCATCGCCCCCCTCCCCTTCCAGGGCTGTCTGTGCCTGTATCAGACAGAGAGTTTTAAGAAGTCTCCTCATGATATCTGTCACATTAAGTTTTTGGTAGACTTTGACTTTTCAATTTAACCAAGTCTTTCTTTTTTTCTTTTCTTTTTCTTAATTACGGGGTTGAGCGGCTCAAATCCTATTCTTAACCAGCCAGTTCCAAGGGCCAAACCAGAAGCAAACTTCGAGTTCGCTTCCCCGATCACCTTGCCGCTACTATACAAGAAGAAAAAAACGAGCCGTTTTTTCCCTTGTCACAGGGCTGGTTTGAGAGAGGGCCGGCGGGGGCGTATGCGTCACTTTTGCTGCTTGGAGCTTCCCGACCAACTAACTTACTCAAAAAAGGCAAGTTCCTCGTGGTTCTTGTTATTGCTCATTAATAATAATAAAGAGGTTCCATCATCCATGGCAATGGTAGCCCATGGTTATTCGTATAAAAAGGCAGGGCCACTTTGCGGTACCTGGTTCTCTCGGCAGGGGACGGGGGTTCAGTACTGGCCCTATTCGCCCCCCTCCTCCTCCCTTTCTCTCACAACCCCAGGTTGGGTCCATATGATGGTGAGCAAGTCTTTCTGCGACCTGGAAGCGTGCTGAAGAGGAGAGACGGGGGGGAGACTCTTGCTAGTGAGCGAGACGGGAAGCTTGTGCACAATATTCTCTTATTTCTTGTCATCTTGAGCTGCGTAACAGCAAAGATGCCTCGCGTTTTTTGTTGCGTTACGGAGGGGCGTGTGAGTTCAATTTGGGGAAGGGGGTGCCGAAAGGAAAACGCCAGCCATCTCCAAATTGTTACTTGTACTAAGGAACTCTGTTAACAACATGCAGCCACAGTCCAATCACTCACACTGCAGCCGCTTCTCCCGTCGAATAGGCAGAGAGCCCCTTGCCGTCAACCGGTGCGAATCACTTGAAGTTTAGCATCCATCAGAAGAGTTAAGAGAACAATCGGGCCATAATCGCCCGTTTCCAGAATTTGGTATCTAATATTGCTCTCTAAACAACAGCAAAAGAATAACAACACAAAATAATTCTGTGGCTCCTGTTTTTCAGCCCTCAGTACATAAAACTCCGTTCCAAATCCCAAAATATGCTATGCAAGTGTCCCCCCCCCCCAAAAAGCAACGCTTGATATCCCAAAATTATCTGCCCCCGGCAATGCCGCCGAAGGAAAGTACTGTGCGTGTAAATAAAACAATTGAGAATAGAACGGTGGCTTTCGCTTCAAGCAGTGCCAGCTGCTTCCTCTTCCCCTTCAGCATCCAACTCGTCGTCCTCGTCCTCGGATTCGTCATCAGACTTGGGAGGCTCCCATGTCTCTTCAAGTTTCAAGCCCTTGCCGACAGGCTCAGGGTAGCGAAAGGTTGAGCCGAGGAGCGATGTCACAGTTGAGTGATAGTTGTTGAGCTGCGGGTCCTCCTGGTGTTTGTCAGGTGTGTCGTAGAGACCCATGCCTACCAGAATCTCGCCTTCTTCCTCTGCAGGTTCTACCTGAGGGAAGGCAGCCGGTCTTCCTTGAGTAGGCGGTTGTTGCTGTTGTGGTGGCTGAAGGAATGCCTCTGGCGTAGGAGGTGAGGTTCTGTTGAAGCCGTGCATGATGAAGTTGTTCCACTGAATGTTGCCGCCCTGCACTTGCCCGGATTCCATGCTGGATGGGAGAGAGTTAGGGAACATCTGACTCTCTTCATTCGGTGTGTACATGGCAGCGGGCTTTTGTGGCATCTCCCAGCCCTCCGTACCAAAGTACTGGTCATTCTCCAAAGGGGGAAAGGCGGCAGGAAGTGGTGAAAAGGTGGAAGCGGGAGACGTATTCGTTGAGTACGACTCGACCATGGGCGAGTAGTGAGGGCCGGCGCCAAAATACAAATCTTGATAGTCGGAATACATGTTTGGCGTGGAGAGAGGGTTGGTGTTGGGGGTATGTGCGAAGTTGGAAGGAAGAGCGAGGAGATGCGTAGAGGGATGCCAGCTCACTGGCCGGCCCTGGCTGAGCATGGCATCTTGTCTGGGAACAAACGGGTTCTGGGTTTGCGCGGGGTTGAGATAGTCCAGGACCTGCTGCTGTCGGCGATTGTTGCTGCTCTCATACATCATGGTCCTCCTTCTGGCGGCCAAGATGGCGGCTCGGGGGCTGTTGTTGGCGCTGGCTGGCTTCATAACACGCATGGCTGTGCCAGCTCGTTGTCCTGTAGACCCTCGCGAAAGTCGACGGCCGGCTGCTTGGCCCATATAGAAATCGTCGTGGTACATTTGCTGAGGATAGGCCGCAGTATTCTGCGTGGGCATCATCCCATAGACAGGATGCTGCATCATCTTGCCGTCTCGATGTTGTGATTGGTATTCTGGCTGATGGTGGGGGTGTACGTAGATGGGTGCCGAGAAGCGAAGTAAGAGCAGTTGGACGTGAAATCCCCGAGGCTCTGTCTGAATTGCAACTGCGTTTCTTTAGAGGGTATGTTGTTGAATGGTGCAAAAGACTTTGGTCGATGTGAAGAAATAAAAGCAAAGGTCGAGGAAGGAATGGATCCAGCGTGGGTTAAGTATGGTTGCAAGTTCATGGCCACGACAAGGAGCCAAATAGGGCGACATCGAAAGGGGCGTTATTAGTCCCATGGGGGTGTCGTACGGAACCACAGCGACAGGCAGGGGCGGGAGTTGGTGACTTGACGGCGTTCAAACAGGAAAGAGGTCGATCAAAGCCCAGCGTTAGGTTATAGAATGAAATGGTTAGGTTGAACTAGTGCAACGCCAGATCCAATTTGAAGACATGCAAAACGCATGTATGTACACCCCCCATCAGGCTTGCAGGCTTGCAGGCTTGCAGGCTTGCAGCAGGCCGTCCGTCTGGATCTTGATGTGGGCCACCCAGCCTTTGCGGCCAGGAGCAGGGATCTATTCGTAGTCTCTTTTTGCCTTTGTCGGACGGGCTTGTTGATGGCTTGACACCGCTGCTGCACCACACACACACACACACAGCATGATACACCACAGGCTGCGCCGACCGTGCTGCGCTAGCGGGCTTTCTGTGCCTGGAGCACGCTCGGCGGTTGGTGATGGATGTCTGCATGCATGCATCCTTGGAGTCGCCAAAACGTGTGAGTGGCTCGCCTGGGGAAAGACGCCGAGTCCATGAGTCGCCAGGGTGCTCCCTCTGGTAAGATTTCGTACTGAGCACCAAAGCGAGCTTACCGGCTGTCGCGTCTTTGTGCAAGGTATGGTCAGTTGGTCATTGCTTCCCTTTTCTTTGCTTTTTTGTTATGAGATTTCCTTCCGCATCTTAGCTGGAGCGTGGAAGCCTTCTCTCTTTCAAGTCCATTTCTCCTTCCACCTTCCGCGGCTCAACATTTCTTGTGCCTTTGCGTTCCCATGCAGTGGGGATGTTTTCCGAGCCGCCCCTCCAAGAGCCAAGGATTGCCGTCCATGCCTCCTAGTATAAGTTGGCTCGTGTGGGCGCTGAATGAGAGAAGGGGAGCTGCGTCATGGGGCAGTCGTGCAAGGGGTGTCTCATCAGATGGATTCCGGTGCAAAGACCTGTTTTAATGGATCAGAACCAGAAGGGATGGAGAAGAAATAGCCTCCATCTGAGCGGCGCCAATGTAGCCTGGCAACCTGGCTGGCGGAGAAGCAGGCAAGGATAACGCAGCGCCAGCCGAGTCTTAGCCATGTCGATGGCGTGTCGAGAAGGTGTGGCGAGCATGTGGAGCTTATTAGTCGCTTTTTCTTTTTTTGAAATCCTTTTTTAGCTGGCTTTGCTTTGCATCAGGACGGTAACACAGCCGCGCAGTTGCGAGCGGCATCGTGCTCCGAAATGCGTTGTGCGATGCAGTTTTGCACGGGGCCATGGGTATCATATCAAGGGTGTTCCTCTCATCACAGGCAGAAATTTCGCGTGACGCTCCAGCCACCGAATTGGTTCCGCTCGATGCGCGAATGCTAGACGATATCCGTATTTGACTTTGGAGCAGGGATCGGGGCTTAGGGGTAGAGAAGTCACGGCTATTGATGGATGGTTGCGGTGGCGGAGGTCGGGAATGCCAAAGATGAGTGATTGTAACCTTGGCGGATGTCAACTACAGCCTGGCCAAAATGATATTAGTGTCAGTGTCGAGTTGGCGGCAAGAAACGACAGCCCAGTCGGCTGTGAAGAAGCCTGGACCAGTAAGCAATATGGAAGGCTGATCCCCGCTCCAACCACTTGAAGCCAAGGCGAATCAAATAAAAGAGTCAAGGGATACTGGTACGGTAAAGTGGTTGCTGTGGGCACACTGCGGTGTTGGGATAGCGGTGACACAGACAGCGCGTCAGCCATTGGCGTGCTGCGGACGAGAGGCAAGAGGCCCGAATCTGGAGGGTGGCGTGGGGACGGGGGGCGTGAGCGCAGACCCTGTCGAAGTTTGGGAATTGAGGATTCAAACGCAACAAGGCTTGTGAGTGGAGAATCTCCAGCTCCCGAGAGAAAGGTTGAAGGGGACAAGCAAACCGGTGCTCCGTTGATGTCTTGAACTAAGAGCGGGTGCTGGTGGGGATGAAAGTTGGTCGTCGTTGCAGGGCCGCCGACATCTGCCCAGGGTAGTTAGGAGGTAACTGGAGTTTTCTCCGTATGCACATCACTTTCGCTCTCACCTTTCCTTCGGCTCAGTGCTGATAGACGTTGTTCTTCTCTGGTCCATTCGCTTGTACCTTCTTCCCCACAGCCTCGAAGCCCAGCAAGCCCAGGGCGTGGAGATGAGGTGGGCGTTGGCGTAGCAAACGAAAGAGGGCAAAAGCCAGCAGCAGGGCAAATGTCGGACCTAGGGCCGTGACGAAGCTGATCTCATCAGCTTTTTTCACACTCTTTTTTAGTGTCACTGGTGAGGAGAAGGTTGCTCCGTGCTGTGTACTGCGTACGGAGGAATTCGCTCGTGCCGATGTGGAACGGGGGTAGTAGAGAGTTCAGGCAGGACGAACCACAAGCCACGACGGCCGCATGGCGAGACAAGAGCGAATGTCATGGTTCAGTATTATGGGGAAAGCAAGAAGCTTTTCTTCATATTGGCAGTCGTTTCTCCACGGGTTACCCAACTTATGTGATGGGTAGGAGTGGGATGGAGTGTGGCGGCGAAAGGCAGCAGGAGGCACAGCTACTCCATCTGCAGTATCTCTGCATAGGAGGACGGGCGTCAGCCCATGACCATCATGACATCGATGACTGACGATAATGTTGATGGTGCTGGCTGACGTGATGGCGAGCGCATCCTTCGTGGTGGTAGCCATGACCGGTTTGACAGGCGATTTGAGACTGTTGGGGCAGGTTGGGAGGAGGGAAGAGGAAGCGGCGCGGGCTTGCTCGTGTGCAGATTGCACGCTTGTTGCTGGCCTCTCAGGTCATGCTAATAAGGTAATTTAGGCACTTGCCCGCCAAAACACTAACAACTTTGCTGGGCTGTCCAAGCTCCACTGTCCACCGCAACACACCGCAACAACAGGCCTGCCTGGCTCAGCGGCTCGGGCTCAGTGGCTCAGGTGGTCCAGCGCCTTGTGTTGCAGTGGGGCATCAGGCAGACGGCGACAGCGAGAAGCTTTTTTGTCAAGCCAGCCAGCAACAAGCAAAAAGCGGCGGCGCGAGCGATCAAGTCAGCTAGCAACACGCCATCGCCAAACAGCATACCTGGAGCGAGGTGTTTATAGATTTCCAGCCAGAGCTTGTTTTACTCTCTTATTAGTGGCCCCGCCCTCGTGACGGTCGCACCGCAAGTCGTGGTGCAGCACAGTTTTCTGGTGGACGTTTGATACCCCTCGGCGCTGCAACTCTGTGGCCTGAACTCTCCCTTCCTAATAACGGTGCGACTTGCAGGACTGCAGTAACTGCTGGCTAGTAGTACAGCGTCTACCACCCGCCAAAAATGGAATCCACCAGAGCCAGCATGTCCACGCCTTTGCGTCTCTGCTTTTTGTGTCATGTCATTATCCGTCCAAGGCTTACATGTGCCTCAGCGGTGCATCAATATTCCTTGGTTTATCGTTCTGCTCTTCTATCCGGTATTTTTCTTTTGCTAAATCTATTTACTGCCCGTGGCGGTCAGCTCCTCCTCCTTGCCTTGTTAGAGCCTCTCACAGCGGAAGTGGAGCCCCGCCGGCCGCGGCGCAGCGCGAAACCTTGCCAGTTCCCTTCCCTTTCCCTCCCTGCACAGCACCTTCACATTAGCTACGGATACATGGTTGCATGACATGCTGCCCTCTTTGTTTCATGCTCCCTACGAAGTAGACACTGCTCTGTGCAAGCTCTCGCGTCCTACCAGCACGCGCCACGATGTCTACCTACCTTAACGAATGTCCACCATGTGGCCCGCCACTTGACCACATACATGGTGCCGCAGAATGCCACTGTGTATCCGAAAATTGCTGCATGTTACAGCTAGACGAGCCAGCGCTCTCGGAGATATCCAAGCCGTGATATAGGTCGCCACCGCCGCCGCCGCCGGCATGGCCGTGTCACCACCCGCCGGCCTCAACACTTGTCACTCTGCAGGCTCCGAACCGGTACCCTCCAACTCAACCTTGTCCCTCCAAGTCGATGGTGAGGCGGATCCTCGCATCCAACCCCTGGATAGCGGTAGCGGAACAGCAAGTCCATAGTCGGGCGTCATCCCCCTTCAACCACGGCTACCCATCACGCCAGAGAGCAGAGCCATGCTCCTCATCCAAAAACGACTAGCAATGCAGCTCGTCGGCTCAGTCCGCAAACTACACCCTGCGGCACCACCCTGGCACAAGATTGTGATGCGGGTTTCGGTTGGTGGCGCTGTGGTCGCTCCTCGTGACAGAGGCTACGTGCGCTCTGCAGCAGCCGCCCCCTGGTCAACCCGAACATCAACTTTTCGGTAATCAGAGTCGCCATGTACGAATGCTGCAGCACGCCTCCATCCTGTACTAGTTGCATGCTGGGGGATGCTGTGTGGTGGAGGTTGGATGGTTCAGTTCAGCGCCGCCAACTGATGACATTCGGAATTGTTCAAGCGACACTAACTCGTCAGGCCTCCCCTCCCTCCTGGGCTCCGCCACGGACGCGAATAGCCCACCGCATTACCAGTATTCTCTCCAGCAAGTCGAGCGGGGCGACGCAAATAGCTCGCTGGTGGGCTGAGTTTTGCAAGCTTCTCACAAGTAATAAGGGACCCCCTACTCGTCGTCTCTGGTACTTCTTATCAAGCTGCCGCTTCTTGTGTGCGTTTTCGGAAGGGCCTACATGTGGTGCTACAGTGTAGTTACGT